CCACGCCCCCCCCCACCCCCGGACCCTCGTTTTTTGATTGCCTGGTCCTGGCAACATCTTCTGGGTGGTAGCAACTGGTTGCCCAGCCATGGCAGCACCTTCCAGGCGGTGGTAACTAGTTCCCGGCTACGAGAGCACTTTCCAGTCAGGGGTAACTGGTTGCTTGGTCCTGGGAGCATCTTCCAGTAGATGGCAACGGGATGCCTGGATGTGCAGGTGCCTCCCAGGTGGTGGTAACTAACTGGTTTTATGGCGATGGGAGTTCCTTCCAGTAGGTACTAACTGGTTACTTGGTGATGGAAGCATCTTCCAGTCAGTGATAACTGGTTGCCTGATCATGGGAGCACCTTCTGGTTGGTGGTAACTGGTTACCAGGTGATAGGAGTACCTTCTAGTCAGTGATAGTGATTGTCTGATCATGGGGAAAGCTTTTTGAGTGGTGGTAACTGGTTGCCTAGTTCTCCCTCATCCCTCAACACACTGTGGCAGCTTAACTTTTTAAGGAAGTTGTGAGACTGCCAAATATTTCCAGAAATTCAACACAGGGTAAAGTAACACCAACCAAGTCTCGTCATGTAGCTGTGTGCTTTTCTCATGGTTTTCCCAGAAAAGCCATCTGGACCCTTTCCTATGAGAAGCAGTTGTTTGGGTGGATCTGTACAATATTCACTGTGGCCTCTCCAGATGTTCTTGGTGCTGATGCTGCTCACCAATTCCTTATATCCTCTCCCAAGACCCTTCAAAAAGTATCATCGCTTCAGTCACCCAGGCTGGCACTGAGGACAGGAGTTGTACCCAGCAGCTGGTTGTTCATCTGTCTCATCTTTCAGTTTCCTTATGACTCTTAAGTACAGTTTGGTTCTAATAGTTGTTACTGTTTGTTTACAGACTGTTTAACCTCTCTGAAGTGAATTTCTCAAATGCACCCCAAAAACTTCCTTAAATCCTTCAATGCTATGCACAGGTGTAAAATTTTCATTTAGTTCTTGTTGCTGCTGTATCTCTGCTGCCAGGAACATGTGTTGGCTGTAGAGATGTGGGGGAGCTGGCTTGCACTTTTTTCCCTGTTTTTTTTTAACCATGCTGAACTTGCTGGTTTCTTTCTGTCCTCTCAGGGACACTCCTTGTAGCATCTCTTATTTAGCTGTGCGTCTTCAAGTTGGAGCACTGCTTGCTCCCCGCAGTCAGTTATTTCTCTGCGTAGCTGCCACATACTTAGAAATAATTTTAGCCTTTCGACCATCTCTCTAGTTTCTTATCAAACATCATCTCAGGTCACTTCCCTCTCTGAAATGCAGTCTGCCAGGAGTGGAGTTCTCATTCCTCTTGCTTCTGTGGAGATACTGAGTTCAACTATACCACAGCCACCATCTGTATAACAGCTCTTCAACAGTAATACCCAAATCCAGGTCCTGGGTGTTGTTCAGGACCAAGTTAAGGGCATTTTATGGCCTTGGACTTGGCATGTAGCATCTTGTACTTACCCTTGACCTAGGGCCAGTAACATCCTGGAGCGTTATTTGGATGAGGAGATTTTGATTTACTCTCCTCTGTGCTTGCAGCCCCCTTGATCTCCTGTAACACAAGTCACCGTTGCAGGGCGGTCTGCAGTGTCGTTTGTGGCACTTCACACAGGTCCGGGATCTGGAGCCACAGAGGTCTGTAACGCAGCAGAGCCGCCTCGTTCAGCAGCCGTGACTTCCGAGCGCTCAGATCTTTGTTTTCCCATGGGCTCCACAGCTGTGTGTTAGTGCCCCACAGCTGTCTACCTTCTGCTGCATTTCTGACAAGCCTACTCTTAGTACGACAAATTCTGGTTTTTAACCTCTTCCTTGAGCTTTGAGCTTCTGCACAAAGGTGCGCGCGCGTGTGTGTGTTTTGGCTTCCTAGTTCCCTCCTGCCCTGTTCTATGTGGAGCTACTTGTGCCAGCTGTTCACTTACTACTTTATTTTGATAAAATTAGTTCTGCTCTCCTGAGAACAACTCTTGCACACTGATACATCAATTTCTCAGCTATTGCTTTTTTTTCTGAAACCATTGCTTGACCAGTAGATAATGGTAGACAGTGTCATGAAGGCCTCAATGGGAAGGTTCTGGTGATTATTTGCAGTGTATCTCTAGGGCATGCACTCTGTGCATCCTGAGATCCCCTCTCCTTCTGGGAGACAGCAGAAAGAAATGGAAGAAGGAACTACCTGTTGAGATGAGTACCTCCAGCAGTTCCTTAATTGTGTAGGGGAGTAAACTAAAGGCAGTAGTTCTTGTTTAACAGGACCCTTCCAGCTCAGAGGTGGAGAGTTTCAGAGCTGCTCTGTTCTGTCTCTTGCTGCAGGTGACTGAAAGCTTCCTAAGCAAAGAAGTCAGCTATGTCGTTTCCAGCAACAAAGAAGCTAAACAAGACAAAGCCCAGACTCAGACGGAAAAGTGGAGCAGCATAACTTCAGAAGATGCAAAAGCCACTAGCCCAATGCCTTCTGCCTCCAAAGGGAACCACACCAGACCTCGCCAGAAGCCACCAGACACTGTAAGAGCTATAAAGGTTTAGGCACCTCAAAGTTTGGCCCAAGGGATCTGTAGAGTAGAACCTGAGACCAGTGTTGGAAGGTAAAGTTATTCCTGCTCTGAGCAAACATGCTGTGGTTCTTTTTCCCCTGGTCTGGCTGTTCATATTCGTACCCCTGTTCCTTGTATCTGCACATCATTGTTCACTCAAATGTGCATGTCATGGCTTTGAGCTAGTAAACAAGGATATCTACTCAAATGGCAGAGGAAATAGAGGGCTTGGCTCGCTTCCTGATAGAACAGGCAATTGTCCTGATGTAGAGCTGTGTCTAGAAAAGCCAGAGAAATGAAAATAAAGCTATTGCAGGCTCTGGAAGTGTGCTCACAGACACAGGTAGGGCAAGGCCGTTGTAACCTGGGAGGAGATCTACAAGGGTAGCTTGCAAGGAGGGATATCTCTAGGTCCTATTCACCCTTCCGGGGCTGGAATTTCTGGTCAGCAGTGCTTGTGGCCAAAGCTCCAACATCCTGCATTGAACACTGGCGTCGGCTGGAAGGTGTCACTGAGAGCCTATTAGCCCACTCTCAGCCACGGGCATCTCTACCAGCTGGCCCACGAGCACCTGCAGGTGGGAAGCCTGAGCTGATGTTAGGGCTTTGACTCATGGGTTTGTTCCCCTGTCCTTGCTCACAGTGCTATCCACCTTCTAACAAAGAGCTTAAACGATTTGCTGAAATAATTTCCTTGTGAATGAGGCTCTGTTCCCAGGAAGGGCTAGCAAGGATGTTCCTAACCCCTGCCAGCCTGTTGGGCTGTGGCAAACAGAGTTTCCAAGCTAAGCTGCTGCTTCCTCTTGGCTCTCTTTGGAGTATTCACTGCTGTTCAGTAAAAGCCAAGCCTTGGCTGAACAGCTGCTTAGGGTAAACCTAATGGGTGCCTTTGCAGTTTGTGTTCTCTGGAAATGCTCAGTCCTGCTGTCTTAGAGATGAAGTGCTGGCCAGACTCCCCTCCCCAGCAGGGAGCCAGTATCACTAGTAACAGTTCTTACTGGACAGCCATGCTGTCCCCAGCTTGCTGCTGCCTGGTAGCTCTTTGCTTTAATGTAGTACTTGGCTTCTTCATCTGCAGGCCGTGATCAGCAGGGGGAAGGAACTGCTGCAGAAGGCCATGAAGAATCAGGTGAGCAGCATGTGGATGGGCTTTTCTCTAGCTGAGTACGTTCAAAGTACTGCTGAGCAGTGCAGAATCAGTGCCAGATGCTTCTCCAGAGCCCCTGCCTGCTGAAGGGAGCAGGCTCTGGGGCTGGTAGAGGTATGAAGCAGTTGCCTGTGGCTCTGCAGGATGCTGTGCAGTGCTTCTGGGCACTGTTCTTCATGGAGCCATGTCATCTGTCCACGTTAGTACTTCTAAGGCCTGTCCCAGTGATCTGGATGCTCAACACAAGACCCGTTGTTAGATGAATTTTTAGCCTAGAAAGAACTAAAGCCACATAGTTGGGGCAAAAGGCTACCCAGGAGTCCTTTCACTAATATCACAAGTGGCCAGAAGAATCTCAGTGCCTACCGAGAAGTTCATGCTATAGCAGGGATTAAAAATTTGACCTAGATGCTACTGTTAATTTGGGGTAGATAAAGCATGGCTTCAAACCTTTTCTGCTGTGCCCTGAAATTAATAACAGCTACACAATGGTCTGTCAATTGGACAACAGGAATATCTCTCTGAAGTAGATTTAGAGCTGCATGAGCTCATACAGCCCTCTCTGCTTTGAGCTGTACCTTGCCAAACCTCTCTGTTTGTACAGGACACCTGTGGTGGCAGCAGTATCCTCGCCAACGCTCGCTTGTGGGGAGTCCAGATCTTGCACGTGGATGGTATCCTTCTCTAGAGGCTGAAATTTAGCTGTTGGTAATTAGTGATTTTTGAGACAGGTGGAGCAGAAGTGGTGTAGTGAGTGTGATATGGGAGAAGGAAGAAATTGCAGTCAGTACCTGATAGCTGACTTTTGCTGTCCTGGCCATGGCTGGCGAGGTCTGCCCTTCAAAAACCAGATTAACTTGTCCAGAATATGCTACTGTCACATTTACAACAGCAAACACTGAGTATGTTGTAATATACTGAAGCTGTAATACTGGAAAATGTTAGTAACTTGGTCAGTGCATTAATTTGTGCCGAAAAGACCATTTTTACTAATTGACCTGGAAGTACAGATCCAGATAATGGCAGGATTTAGTCATTTTAATTAGGAAGTGCTGATGTTTGAGGATCTGTGCTGGAAGGCACTTCCCGTCTCAGTGATGAATGGGGAGGGGGTGATGGGAAAGACAGATGGTGAAACTCTGATTCTAATAATAGATCTGGAGTAAAAGGTTCCTGAGTGTCCAATGACAGTGACATACGGCTGTGGCTGAGCTTGTCTGGATGCACGATGGAGGCAGCTGCTGCCAGTACGTGTTCCTGAGCAGCAGCTATGCTGAACCACAGCGGCATTGCAAGCCTGTCAGGGCTTTCAAAAGTGCCGGGGTCTGGTCTGCATGCTGCAGAACTCCGAACAGCATCTTGTTTCTGCAGAGACTTAAAGCCAGCTCCAGCTCTGTTAGAGCAAAACGGTGTTATCCTTCAAAGCACTCTCTCTTGGCTGCTCCTTGGGCAAATTGTGTAGTGGTGATGCTCTGCCAGGGGATGGCAGGCTCAGGTGCCAGGTGCTTTTCCTCGGTGCAGATGGGGAGTTACACTTGTGCTGCAGTCGGTGCAGGGGAACAACTCACCTTCTCTTGTTGAGCTCTTTGACATCCCACCTGTGCAGAAATGGTGTCATATGCTCAACAGCTGCTGCGTGCTGTCTTGGGAGCAAGGAAACGATGCCAGAAGACAGAGGTAACTGTCTTAACTCCAGCCAGTCTGAGGCGCTTAGGGTCCCTCGGTAGCTCTAAGTAATCCTCCTAGCTCCTCTAGTGCTAATGGGCTAGTAAACAAGGTGATTTCCTAGGTTTTCATCCAACACTGAGCAATCTGGTACTTCTCTTTATTAATGGAGATGACAAAATGAAAAGAGTTTCTCCTTTTATAAAGTGAAGGTAAAACCAGATGAGAGTGAGGCAACTGTTAGTTATCAACATCATCTGTAGCAGAGCTAATACTGATTTTGACTTGTACAGGACTAAGGGTGAAATGAAGATCATATGCAGCTAATACACTGGCTTTCTGAGGTGCTTTTTAATGCATTGGGGAGGTCAGTGAGAAGGTAGGGCCTAAGATCAGAGAGTGGCAGCCTGTATGTTGCATTTAAACTAACTCTAGATAACTTGAGAGACAAAATATTAGGGGGAGGTCATACAGTCTCTGATGCAGGAGCTCTGAAGTGGTGGGTGAGACTGTTCTAATCTCTTTGCTGCTCTGGGATCAGTAATTACAGTTCTGCCTGTGCTGGCTCCCATACTAAATATGTCACTTTTTCCTTTAGGCAAAATGCCTTGCATCTGGATCAAAAATTCGCAAAGGTAGGCTCAGAAGTTGTGCTTCTGTTTACACTTAAGAGGCAGAGCTGCTTGAAGAAGCCTTGTTTAAAATCTGAAAATCCATCCGAAACTTAAGCACTCCAAAATATGCCAACTGTTGAGGCTGTTTCTCTTGATTGGGTTTTTTAACTCCTTGCCTGAGTCTAGCTGTAACCTCCTAATACAGCTGAGGACATTATGCATTTGATTTCCGGCAGTGTTTTTAAAAATCCCATAAAATGTTTGCAGTGCAGCTCCCAGAATCCTGAGGCACCTGAGAACTGAGCTGCTGGCACTGCACACTGAATCCACTGGCTCAAACGAAGTTTTGAAGAATAATGCATCCTACAGAGGAGAGCGTGTTCCTCACAACCCACTCACTTCTGTTAGGCTGAAATGTACTGCTGAGACACCAATCTAGGGATAACTTTTCCAAAGGAGGAGGGAGGGGGGGAAAAAAGCAGGTTCTCATCTGCAATTAGACAAGAGCCAATTGTGGTACAGAGATTGGCACCAGTGATTTAAGTTAATTTGTGACTTTGCTCGTTGGGGAGTGAAAGCTCAGTAATATCTCAGAGCGGGTTCCAGCCTGGATTCTGTGTGTGACACTTGGAAGATTATTTTCCAGTCTTGGGGGGTAGGTGGTGAAAAAAGGCTGAAAAAGCTGTTGGATAAGGCAAATCGTCTGCTGCAGGCTCAGAGCTTGTCGTTGTGGCATACTGTGAACCCTGCCTGGGGACTTGTGGTGACAGCTGAACCGTTTGTCACTGTTCAGCACTCTGCCGTGAGCGCAGGACCTGTGCACCAGTCTGAGTTTTATCTAGGGCCTTAAACGTGGCCTTGCTTTCAGAAGTGCTAAGATTTGGCAGCATTTACGTGGAAAAATTGATCCTGTACTTAAATAGCTACTTTAGTGACATAACAGCACATTTGATGCAAGCTCAGGATGAGGCTCGAGGAATTAACTGGTGAGGACAGGCGAACTCAGCCTTTCTGGAGAATGAGGTTAAATTTTCTTTGGAGAAAATAGCATTGAGTGCCAGTATCACAAGAAAAAAACCACCTCACCCTTCAGAGGCAGTAAGAGAGGCACAGGAGGCTTGGTTTCAGGGTCAGGCAGATGCCCTGTGGGGGAGTACCTTGGTGTTCATTTGTTTCTTAACCGGATCTGTACTCATATTTCCAGGCTGAGCGCAATGTTATCACTTGCCAATTGAACATACCTTCGAGGCAGGAGGGACCCAGTAGCCTCTTCTCCCAGCCTGGCTCTGAAAACCTTTTCCCTGAATGTACCGCTGAGGCTTTCTTCTGCTCCCTTAATATATATTATGCCTCTGGAGGAAGTATAGCTGCTGTTTGCCCTCCTTGGGGACCAAGTAAAGGCCAGATATTGCTCTTTAGCATGCCAGGCTTGGCTATGCAGCATGTTGGTTTGGCTCCAGCAGCTCTTACTGCTTTGAGTTAACTGTCCTGGCCTGAGCCATTCTGCACTCTGGGCTGTTGTATAAAAGTAAAGGGAGAAAAGGGTGCTGGAAATGTTGATGCAGAGCTCTGTGCTTGTGCAACTGCTGCTGCAGTTTGTTTCTTACAAATGCATGTCTCGTGCTTGGTGGCATGTTGTGTTGAAGATGTGACAGTTCTAAGGATCTGAATCAGAACTGGAGGCTTGGGGTTAGGTCACTGGCTGATAAGACCGAGTAGACATTAAAGATGCAAGGAGCTTAGCTGGAAGTTCTTTCAGAGGTGGAAACAGTCCACAGTTGGGCTGCCTCTTGGGTTTGGTCACCCTGCTGAATATTCTGGAGGTGGGGTGGGGGTGGTAGATTACCCAAGGAGCTCTTTTGGCTGCACTTTAGCCATCACTTGGCATTCACAGGTGTCAGAAGCACTGATGAGCCTCCTCTGCAGTCCAGTTCTGTTGGGGAATGAATAAGTAGGGTATTTGGCCAGGGCAACTTCTAACCAGCTTGCTTTCTAGCAGGAAAATTGAAGCCCCCTTTTCTGAAGGTTGAAGACCAGAGCAGGTAAATGAGGTCTTTCTAAATATCACACCTTAAGACCTCGGGGCTCCCAGGGGGGGTGTCCTTTACTGGTTTTATTTGCAGTGAATATTCTGTCCGCAAGGCAGAGCGTGGCTTCTCTGAGGACCCTGTTACACACCAGCAAGTTGACACTCTCCTAGAGGGAGGCAAACGGAGCGTAGAGAAACAATCTAGGTGGCTCATATGTCAGGGGGGGGAAAAGGTGTTAAACGAGACTTGACAACAGAGTTTACTTCCTTGCTTGGATTCTGTTTGTGATCCTCAGCCGGTCACTTAATCTGCTTGAGCCCTCTGAAATGAGGAAAGAGATTGAAACACGAGGTCAGGGACTGTAACTTGATTACAGCATTCAGCACAAGGGGATCTGATCTCTGTGGTGTTTCTAACAACTCTGTAACTCTAACAGTATCCAGAGTGCTAATTAATTATTCTGAAGACAACATTTAAAGCAGCTTTAGAGTCAAATATTAGGGTTTACGTGCTGCATGCAATAAAGTGTGAAGAGAGAGATGTCCTAGGAACCAAAACCTTCCCATTCTGCTCTGTAGCTGAAAATACTGCACTGGCTGCTGCTGATGTGCCTCGGGGGCAGAAGGTGGGTTTTCAGCTGAGCAGGCAAGCCTGCCTTCTGTCCAAAACACCCCCCGTCAATGCTGTCACTGGGAATCGGATTTAGTACTTCCAGTGAGAAAGAGGGAAATCTCTGGAACAGCCAAATGAAAGGACAGTGATGGCCAGTATCCCATCATAAGTGAGACAGCACCTTGAGCCCCTGGGGGGGGGTGGGACACAGGGACAGCTCTCTAGCCATGCTATCAATGCCATGTCTGATGTCCTGATCTGCTGCTTTCAGGCAATTCCGACCCTTCCATTATCAGTTCAAAAGCTTTCCTGACCTGAATTTCCTGGCACCCAAAAGCTCCAGCCCATTTGAGCCTCTAAAAAGCCTCTCAAATTCTTGCAGAGCCAGGTAAGTTGTAGCTCTTTCTGTGCAAGTTTTTAACCCAACTCCTCTAACTGCTGCCCTGCTGGCTCCTGGGATGCAGGCGAAAGGAGCCCTGTTCTGGGTTGAACAGCTGTAGTTATAAAAGGCAGCACTGCCTCCCTGCCCCGCACACCAGCAGCTGGGCACCTGCTGCTCTGTCAGGTGAGGGCAGGGAGGATCTTTGCTGTTCCTTGCAGGGCTGTGGAGGGCTGTGCGATGCGCAGCGATGGGGAGAAGAGCCCCCGATCCACAGCGGTCACTGTGCCCAAGAAAAAGAGGGGATTTTGTGAGTGCTGCCAGGAGACCTTCGAAGAGCTGCAGAAGGTAAAGGCTCCCCTGGGACCTGGTTCCTTGCAAAAGTTACAGGGGCCCTCGGCAGCTTAGTTATGGTGATGTGCCTGTTACCAGCATGAACCCTTCGGGAAGGAGGGCTGGTGGCTGTACATGCAGCCTTGGTGGTAACTCCTGGGATCAGCCTCGTGGATGAACACCACAGTGTGTCTGTGACCTCCTGGTCTGTACAAGCAATGGTATTGAAGATTAGAGCACGACATGCTCATCTCTTTGGCTAGGAAATCCTTAAGGATCATCCCCTGACCTGATCTGTGGGGTGGGAAGCCTGTTCCACAGCAGCTGGGGGACACAGGCTGATTAAAAAGGTGGGAAGAAGTTTTTATTCTGGAAGAGGCCAAACAACGTGGCTTTCAGAGCCCAGCCTTTAGTGATAGAGTACGTATTTGGAGTCTGCTTTTTTACTAGCTGCTGGGGAAAGCTGTAGGCTGCTGTTGGGTACAGACACAACCTCCTTTCAGCAGGTGTCTATGGGAACAGAACACTCGCTGTAGGCAACCGGGGGTAACAGCACTGCCTGTTTCCCAGATCTGCTTCCCAACAGCAGCTCTATCTGATGAAAAGGCTGTTTCCCTCTAGTCTGTTAGGCTGTGGAAAGTGGCTGTTACTGCAGATTTCCCTCCTGTGAAAGAATAAGTGTTGCTAAAAGGGCCTCTGCCACCTTCCAGCATCTCCAGAGCCCTCAGCACAAGCAGTTTGCGCTGGATGACTCGCAGTACGCCCCTGTGGATCGTGTCATCTCTCAGCTCACCAACAACTTTGTGGAGCAGTCAGACAAGTAAGTCTTTGCAAAACTGGTAACTCCTGGATCTGAAAAGCAGCACAGTGTCACACAGGCAGGCTCACAGAGTCTCTGCTGCTGTAGCACTGGTCCCTAGCTCATGTCTTCTGCCAGGGAATGGACCGGGCAGGAGCAGAGGGCTGCGGCTGACTGCAGGCAACCTGGCACCTGCCAGGCAGAGTTCAGACAGGCTGTGGGAGATGTTCTTGCATTTCTGTGGCTTCTCTGCTTCGGAGAACTTCCTGTGGATTTTGAGTGCCTCTTAAACTAGGGAGGGCAGCTGAGCCCATCTCTTCTGTCCCCATGTCTAATGCAAACCCTGCTGTTCTGTAGCACTCCTGCACCCGGGCTCTGGGCTGTTGAGAAGGCCGAGAGATCCTTCATGCTGCCCATCTCCTCTGCCAGCAGCAGTATCGCTGTTTGCTGAGCCTCACCAGTCTAAAATTTCTTACCGCCTCCTGAGCAAGGGCTTCAAACACCCTGCACTGCAGAAAATGCTTCATCTCTCTGAGGGGAGGGTGTTGCTAGGCCCAGAGAGAGTGAGCATTAACTGATGGTTCTTTTCAGGGTGCTTCAGTCCTGCCTGACAGATGAACGCTTAGTGCCTCAAGCACAAGCTACTGGAGGAATTGAGATGCTGACAGCAGAGCTGGGAAAGGAAAGGGAGCAGACTGGGCAGGGTGCTGTGGAACTGGTAATTGATACGGAGTGTGATCGTGGCCTGAAGACCGAGGGATGGTCCCCTTGCCTGCCCAGGGACAGGGTCAGTAATCTCAGAGGAGGAGGAGGGTTGCCAGAGAACTGCTCTCTGGAGCTTCCTGTCAGACCAGGACTTGCCAGAGGGGTCTGTGCTGCGCCTGGCACCGCGGAGGAGGCTGTGGTGGGGGGTACAGGTTGGGGCTCAGCTCCTGACCTGGACTGGGCTACTCGTGTGGTGACCACTTGTGTCGGAGAGGTGATTGCTACTTCGTCTGAACCTCAGAAACAGCAAGTGCTTGGGTCTAGCAGCCACCTTCCCCAGGCAGCGCCTGCCTCCAGGAAACGTCAGCTCTCCTCCAGACAGAGAAACCAGGTGGAAAAGAAGCCCCGACAGGAGCTGAGTGTTGGCCCCTCTACCTGCACGCAGACAAACCCAGCGGATGGTGGGGTGGGTGGACAGAGTGCAGGACAGACGTCTGAGCTTGGCTTGCCTGGTGTGGTGGAGGCTGGCAGCTTGCCTCTGAGCACAAAGCTCTCCAACAGACCTCGTAGCTCCCTTGGTTTGGAGCAGTGCCTGTGTGGGAGCCCTGGGGACCCTGCATTGCGGCCGGGTTCCCTCCAAGCTGTGTCTGTGGGTTTTGATCCCGCAGAGGCTCCCGCTGCCAGTGAGCATGGCTGGAGCGGAGCGAGCACGAGTTCCCAGGGGAAGCAGCTTAGAGGGGAAAATGAAAACACACCCCGAAATGTGAATAGTCCCGAGCTGGAGAGCACAATGAGCAAGACCAGCTGTCATACTGGCTGGGTGCCCTCTCCAAAACTGCCTGTGGCTGAAGCCAGATGTTGCTGCTCACTCTGTGTCAGAGCAGCAGAAAAAATAGCACCCGAACTACCTGACCTCCAGGGCCACAGCAGGGAGCAGGCTCCGTGCCCTGGGCTCCTCCAGCCTCTTCCACGTAATGCACAGGCTGATCAGGACTTCAGCAAAAGTTCTTCTGAGTCGGACTGGGATGTGCAGCTGCTCTCCACCCTAACAAGTGTCCAGGACGGCAGGATTCAGGCTGTGGACAGGGACTTGCTCCAGAGGACACATGTCAATGTGAGGGACAGTGGGTATGAGTCTCAGCTCTGCTCAGTCCTGAAACAGAAGTCGGAGCTTGCTTGGGCAGGCAAAGAGGACAAGAACTGCCGAAACTGTTGCACAGAGACAAAAGGAGCCTCTTTCTCCATATTTGGGACCTTTTTTGGCAGCTGGACTAGTTAAAACCACCTCCTGGGAGTTCTCTGGGCCCTTAGTGGGAGCTGTGAAGTGGCTGAGAAGGGATTTAACAAGCCACCTCCCTGTCAGGACCCGGAGGCCCAGCCGAGAGCCAGAGTGAGGACCGTGGGCTGCACAGTGGTCTCCAGACAGCAGACAGCCCAGCAGCTCTGCTGTTGGGAACTGATGGGTGATGCAGCAGTTTCACTGCCCTCAGCTGGGATCTTCCCTCCTCTCTGCTGGTAACATTTAGAGCCAATAGCTTCCTGTCTATCTCCTCACTGGGCTGCTGACAAGATGGTCTTTCTCTGGAAGTATCTGTTCATCAGGAATGTGATCTTTGACCTTCCAGAAGAAGAGCACAGCCTGTTCCTCCTTTCGCCCACTCCTTGGACGTGCAGGTGGTGAAGAGGAGGGCCGCGGGGGTGAGATCTGTGTTCTTCACGTGGTTTGGGGGTTTGTTGGATGTCTGAGTATTTACAGATGTTTGTAACTGGCACTGTTTGATTTTTATTTTTTTTAAGCAAACCTTTAAACTTTTAAATAAAATGGAAGATGAGATCCTGCTCTGCTGTGTATGCTGGATAAAACATACTGGTGGCCTAAGCATAACCAAAAATCTTGTGAAAAGTCTGTCAGTAGAGGTTGGGCGATGTCTGGTCAGAAGCCTTGCTGGGAGGGATCTGTGGGTGATGGTGAACACCAGGCTCTGGCCACCATACGTGGTTTGCCGTAGGGATGGGGTCAGCGAGCTGTGGGAAGCTGCTGTGCCCAGCGCAGGGCCTGCCCTGTGTGGGATGGCCCTCGGCAAAGAGGCATGTGGAGAAACTGGAGAGCAGTTGGGGGGAGACTATTGACCTCTCCTGGGCATGGGGCCAAGGAGAGGAGGTCAGAGCTGGGCTGGGTTGGTCTTGCTGAGGAGGTTCTGGGGTATCGAAAAGCAGCCTGCGACTTCTTGAAGGGCAGTTCCAAGTAGGACGGAGCCAAGCTTTCCATGCTGCAAGCTTGGGCTTCCAAGATGCAGATTGGGAAAATGAAAGGCTCCCTCCCCAGGAGGGGGGACAGCCCTGGGCCAGGCACCCAGAGGAGTGGGGTCTGTGTGTTCTTGGAGATTTTTAAGCTTTGAGTGAAGGACAACCTTCCCTTCTTCACTCAGGGCTTGAAGTGAAGCCCTGAGCAGGTGAATAAGGTACTCCTGCTGTGAGCAGGAGGCTGGACATGAGATTTCAGAGGTTCCTGCTGAGTTAAATCATTCTCCAGTGCATCAAACTCCAGCTGTTCTTCACCTACTGAAGAAGCTGTGCAGGTTATGAAGGGCTGAGCAAAGCTGCTGCAGGAGCTGAACCACACCAGGCATGGGGCTTTGCTGTGGACATGTCCCTGTAACTGTTTGATGTCCCAGCTGGAGGATAACCCTGGAAGAGGGGTAGAAACAGGCTTGGTGTGCCAACCAGCCAGTCTCCGTGTGCTTGGTCTCCTGGAGGGTGATGCCAGCTCTGTGCCCCTCAGACAGCGAAGAGGGGTGACCCAGCCTACAGGGTGAGCCAGAATGAGTCCCTCCAGACCACTGGTAGGTGTGACCAAAACTCAAGGTGGCCAGTTGTCCCCCGCAGAGATTGGGCTACCTCATGGCAGCATGCTCAGCAGAGGAGGCTTCCCTGCAGTGCCAGTAGAGATGCTGTGGGAGATCAGCTGGGGGCGTGACTGTGGTTGTTCCTTCACCACGCTTGGCCCTTCTGTGGAGGGGAGAGGGAGCCCTGGTTGTGGGCTGCTCCCTCCTAATGTTGGGCAGTGACCTACATCATGGGTCTCCCTAGTCATGGGGAGATGCTTTGTAGTCTCCGGGGGACTCTTCAGGCCTTGGCTCAGATGTTCTGGCTGGAGATACCGCTTGTCATCTGGTGCAGACCCTGTGTAGTGCCTGGCCTCTTTGTCACTGCGGTCCTGAGGACCACCAGGAGAGCACAGGGAGAGGAGGTCACCCCAGGGCCCTGCAGCCCTCCCTGAGGCGCAGAGCAGATGCTGGATCAGCTCCGCTGTGCTTGGTGCCGCAGGTTCCTCGCCTCATTGCTGCGTTCGTGGCTAATTGTTGTGTGGAGGAAGATGAAGGCCTGAGGGTTGCAGGTCACAGCTTCAAAGCCCTGCCTGCCCCATGCTGGGCTTCACGGGAGGGAGGTGTGGGCTGCTCCGGGCAAGGTCAGCCCTGGAAGTGCTGCTTGGCAGCTGGGAGCCGCCGCAGCGTGGCCAAGGAGACGATCGGTGTTTCCCGGAGCCTGTTCCCTGTGCAGCTGCCTGACAAAACCAGCGTGGGAGACGCTTCCCTGCACGTGCGCCGGCCCCGTGCGCACGGGGTGGGGGGTGCTGCGGGGGTGACCTGAGCCCCCCAACCTGAGCATGACCCTACAGCAGCTCCTCTGCTAAAACCAGGCTGAGATGAACCTGCCCCCTCCATCCCCGAGCTGCTGCAGGTTTCGGTTCGTTAAGGCTCTGCAAAGTGTTGATGATATCGAGGTGAGCACCAGAGTTTGGGGAGGGGAAAGAAATAGGGCTGGGGCTTCTCTCCCTCCCTGCTCCCCAACCCTGGCTATGTCTCTGCCCTGCCCTGACTTCCCTGCCACCTCTAAATGCTTCTGCCCCCCCACGCCTTTTGCACAAAAGTGATGAAAACCAAAGCAGCTGCTGTTAATGGGGGTGTCAAAGTGGGTTTTGGCACGGGCGGGGAGGGGGCCTGTTGCCCTGCCATGACTCACCGCTTAAAACACTCGACAAACTTCCCGGGAAGGTAAGCCCAGTGCTTCTGCGGGTGGCTTTGAGCTGCAGAGCTGCTACCAAGTACCCAAAGGCTTTTGTCACCAGCATGCGTGTGAGTCCTGGGGGGAGAAGGGAGCGGGCGCAGTGGGGCCGGAGGAAGGTGTTTGGGGAAGAGAGGGATCCACAGGGAGGGGGCACACACTGGTGTGACTCCCTGATGCCCTGTGGGGAGGGCTGGGTGCTGGCATGAGCAGGGAATCCTTTTCCTGGGTTCATCACGGCTGTGGGAGGTGCTGGGAGGAGGAGGTGGGGTGCGACGATGCCTCTGGGAGATGCGGGGAGCCCCCCCGGGTGTTGGCTGCCCTGACCTGAGGTGGCACAGCAGGGGTTTAGCAGGAGTGGTGATGCAAAATGGGTCAGAAGACTTTAAATGTGAGATGAGTTGTCCTGGGGGAGGGTGAGGTTGCGAACTGGGGGTTCAGGACCCCCGGCTTGGTCTTTCGTGGGGGCTCCAGCACCCTCCCAGGGCAGCCAGCCTCTGGGATGAGCTAGGGGACACCGAAGTGACTGAATCGCCCCCCTCTGCTCTGGAGCACCGTGGTGGCTGAGCCTTGTCGGGGCAGGGGCTGCCTGTCACCACCTGTGGGGACACCCAGCACCCACCTGGGTATGGCCCTGAGCAGCCCCGGGTGGGGACGATGGTCTCCGGGAGGTCTCTGTCCCACCTCCGGCCCCGTCTCTGCAGTGGAGGGATGAGTCCCCCCTGCGCTCCATCACCCCGGGGCTCGGAGCCCCCTTGTGCCACCCAGGACAGTCCCTCTGTCCCCCGTGGGGCTGAGCATCACAATGCTGTCCCCTGCCTCCATCCCACAGCTGCAATCAGCAGGAGCTTACTGGGGCTTTCCACGCCCCCACCCCCCCAGATTGTTCTGTTATCCCCAGGTGGGGAATGTGGCCTTGCAGCATCCCCTGAAACTGGGGCAACCCAAGGGATT